GTCTGCCCCAGTACTTCCGTATGCGGGATCCGGTTCTGCCACCTCAGCTTCAGTATCCGTCGGAGACTGCTGAGGTGAAAGTAGTTGAGTCTCCGCACCTGCTTCTTGTAAACCGTCCAGATCTCCGCTCCATACAACAGCGTCGGCAGGATGATCGCCTTGTACATCTTCAGTTTGGCGCAGAGGTGGAGACCGTGACGATTCCAGACTGTGCCTTGCAGACGACCGAAGGCTTGGCTGGCTTTGGAAATCCGGTGGGCCACTTCGTAGTCGATCTTGGTGGTGAGGGAGCGGGTGCTGCCCAGGTAGGTGAAGTTGTCTACGTCTTGTTGTTGGGTGCCGTTCATGTTGATGTGCGGTCCAGTGTAGCCAACGTTGGGTGGCGGTTGATGCATAACCACTACCTTCTCCTGTTGATGACCAGGCCAAAGTTGCCGTAGACGGCGGCGACTAGGTTCATGCTCCTTTGCATGTCCCTTTTCGAGGTGGTACTGAGAGCTCAGTCGTCGACGAAGAGAAGTTCGTGGACGGAATTTGCTGATGCATGCGACTGGAAGTGCATCCACCGCTGAGTGAGTAGGTGACTCTCCGTCATGTAGGCGATGCGGATCCCGTGACGTTCGTCACGGTAGTCGTCCCATAGCATGGTGATGAAAATCAAACTGAGGGTAGTAGGTGCGAGGGTACAGCCCTGCTTCACTCCGTTGGTCACTGAGAATGCCTCTGAGACGACTTCATTGTCCGTGACGCGCTCTGTCATGCCGTCATGTAGCTGACGCACCATCTGTGTGAATCGCTCTGGACATCCGAATTTCTACATGATTTTCCACAGTTCTTCGCGATTCACCGTGTCGAAAGCCTTCGTCCGATCCAGCAAGGTAGGATTGAGGTAGGTGCGCATCTCCTTACACTTCTGCTGCAGTTGACGGGCAGCTAAAGCAATGGCGATGGTGATATGATGACGACAAAATCTGCACCGGCTTTCTGGCGGGACACCCCGGTTCCAGATGGCTCTTGTGGTGGTTGGGGAGGACGCGAGCTTGTCGATTACCTCGAGGTTTCCCGCCTGGATATTGGCGGATCCTCACTTCGGACGATGGCCGGTTCACCCGTCGGCAGCCGTGATCGTCTTCGTCATCAGCACGTCCCGCTGGTCTCGCCTCCGGACTGGGACATATTCCATCAGGTGCCACTGTCGCGACCGAGGGTGCATCGGGGTACTCATCTCTCGCAGCGGGAGGCAGAAGTAGGTGTTGCTGGGGATGAGACGATGTTCTGCAAGGGAACCAGCGCTCCTTCGACGGCATGGCATGTGTCGACGTGGACGTTGAAGTCACCAAGGACAATCAGCTTATCCGCCTTCGGGACGGACGCCAGGAGGGCGTGCAGGTCATTGTAGAATTTGTTTTTCGGTTCCTCAGAGCCGGTCATCGGGGGAGCCTCTCCGGAGAGGCAGTCGGAGACTCGTCATGCGTTCGTTGATGCCCTGCGGCAGACAGGGCAGTCGTCCTACAATGTTTCGGATGGTAATGGTGACGCTTACATCCCGTCGCTCTGCCCTGCTCTAGAAGAAGGTGTACCCGGGAGCCACGTCCTCCTGTTTGTCTTGTTCGAAAAACCGAGTCTTATTGAGTGCAGTGGTGCCCACCTTGTAGCGCGCCAGTTCCCGAACGATTTGCGCCGTCGTCCGTTCTTATTGGGAACGAACACTCCAGGCTGACAGACAGTGAGCGACCTACCGGTCTGTGAGATGGCACGATAGAGGTCTTTTTTTCTGTTTTGAGGGTCTTTACAACATGTGTGGCAACCCGCGAACCACGGTCTGTGCGCAGATGTCGTGAACCCAGCACTTTTCTAGCTCCACCCCCCTCGCGGGGTAAGCAGTGCTACCCCCAAATTGGACTGCCTGATCGTACCAGACGGATACCGCGCTCCACTATGGGTCACGGGGTTTATTGTGAGAGTGACTTGGGCCGCCTACGTGATTGCATGTCGCCCTCGACGTTGGGTTTGTCGATTGTGGCGGTGTAGAGTAGGTTGGAGAGTGGAGAGCAGAGAGGGAGGAGGGGGAGAGGGCGGAGGGAGGAGAAGGTAAAAGGGGGAGAAGGGTGGAGGAGAGGGTGAAGTGGAAAATGGAGCGGAAGTAGGGAGCGGTGCAGGATTATCGCGTGGGAGGATGCACACGAGCATGTCCTCACCTGGTTTGGCCCGCCGGTCGAGGCGGTTACCGGGGTGTGGCCGCTAGACAGAGCCGAGCTGCGAGGAGTCAACATTGAGAGTTGGCGTCAGTTAATGGACGCTAAGCGTAGTCAAAACCTGCAAGCAAGTAAGCGACCTCATAGGACCTTCACGCTGACCCACATCTGGGCACCTTGCACCCCATAATGTCTACTGAAGTAAACACGAGTTCATAGGAACCTTCGGAGTCCTGCACAGACACCGGATAATAATGTCCCAGACGAAAATACCGTCTCTGCTCTACATCTGACAACAGCCTGGCTCAGAACCATTTGACACTATAATCCACGCTGAAAGTATCTGATCATGATCGATGTCTCCTGGTCAGAAGTACGGTTCGCCACCTCCTTGATTTCTGCGGCGACGATGCATCGATAAACTTGTCTGACTACGTTGCTCATTTGAAGTGCTCTATTCTGTAGGTTCTCTTGACTTGCAGCTAGCGACATCGAGACCACCCGTTCAGCATGCTGGTGTGAGTTTTATGCTCGGAGCCAGGTGCGGCATTTTCGAGAGTTCGGTGTATGGCCTTGTTAGCTAAGGTCGGCTAACAGATATACAGTTGGTGATCTATCAAATGAAATGTTACGAACTGCGCGCCAACCGCCCACTCCGCATCCCTGAAAGTTATACTGCGCCAAAGAATCGACCGATCTTCAAAAGAAAGCAGTGTTTGATTTGAGAGTTGCTGTTAATATAGTGCGTTCTCGTGGGATGTTCTTCCTAAATAAGACCATCTGGGCCGGCTTCGGTGGCTTGTCCGAAAATAGGGCCACATCAAAAAATGAATGCTCTTCGAGGATGAAAGCCTGTGATAAATATATTCTTGAGCAAATAAAAACGTTCTCTAGTAAGTTTCCTAATGAGAAGGCTGCCTTGTCATGACGTCTCGAGGCTTTCTTTTATCCATTTTCTAATTATGCACAGAGGAAACTGACAAATGGGAGAGGGACGCTTACCGATCGTTTTTGCGGACCTCATTCGTCCCGTTGTGCCTTACGGGCACTCTCTCGAGTCCAACCTCGAGGGCCCCTCTATCATTGTACATTCCCGATCTCGCCGAAAGGACAACGAGCCCGTGGGTCAGGGGTTAGAGGTGCCGGACTTCTAACTAGCAGGTCGAAGGATCGAGCCCCGGCTGTTTCACGCTTCGGGGTTGGGCATGACAGGCTGACGACGGCTAATAAGCCAGAAATGGCCGTTCCAGTTTCCTTTGTCCTTGTCGGTAATAACATTCTATACCGACAAATATTCCCTGGGAATGGCCGTAAGCATACTTCTTGGTGTTCGACGAATAAAATCGTCGTCTTACTAGGCCATTTACCGGCTTCGTTCACTTTGCGTATTTCTAGGCACTGTTCTACTATTTATAATTCTCCATAGAGAGACCAGGCTAATTTTTAAAATGTTAACTAAGGACTCGTGCGACACTCTCTCGGTCGGCAATTTTCATATGCGCTCAAAGTCAACCCCTGACAGGAGGTGTTTCGACATTTCCATCGCACGGCGTGACTCGGAAAGGTGACACCACGTCGCGGTTGCACAATCAACAAACAGAAATGACTTCACCATATATATGTGGCACTACCCACTTAAATGCCGGTCACGACATCTTAACGGTTACAGTCAGTGACACATATCATGAAATGTTGACCGACACTGAAATGTGTTTTCGATTAGGGAGGAGTACTTAAGTGGGGTTTAATTTTTGATTAGGTTACGGAATAGTTTCGCAACATCCAGACACACCAGTGTTGGATTTTGGATGCCTCTCTCTTCATTCATCTGCAAAAACCGCACTAGGTAAAAAGCGACCACTTGAAAAATGTGCATTTTTTCCATCCATTTCCGATGTCCTTATAAATTCAAAA